AACCCTACTTGGTGCTTGTTTCATCCCGTTGGGAAAACGTTTGTATTTCCCCACCCGACCTGTCGATCAACCTATAAGGAGGCCTCAATTATTGTCAACCCTTTCTTGTTCCGGTGTTTGTTGGCTTAAATTAAACCCCTAGAAAGAGATTTCTGCACTGTTTATTAAGGCGGCTTCTTATTGGGGGCGTGTGTGATTTGAATGTTTTTGTCAGTTTTGTAGGCATCCGTTTTTATAACCGGACGGCATCTGCTAAAGCTTCCTTTGTAGTCTTTAAACTTCGCAATGCAATTAAGTGAGGAAGATTTATACGGCCGTTTAAAAAGAACATGGGGATACGAACACCCACCTAATTAACATAAGTGGCCTAGCAGGAAATTGTAGGAAGGGTAAATTTTACCGTGTATCAACCCTAACTTAAAACTGAACTGTAACCCTTTCATTTTACCTCTAGCCCTACCCATAATACAACCTTATGGTTAACTCTAAATCCGGCCTTAACCCTTGACATGCTCCTAACCCCAACCTCATTCGCGACCCTAAACTAAACCTTAAGCCTCACCTTAATTCTAAACCTAATTTTCCCGGAGCGGGGCCAATGTCGAATGTAATGTGGACGGTTCCTTTTACCTTATCTTGTTAATTCATCCTTACTGATAAATATTTTTCCCGAACTGTCACATAATTCCATTCCGATGGGTAAGTTTTCTTGCAGAATTAACCGACAAGTGACACAAATAGAAACACGGCAGCTCGAAATTAACACCTCGGCTAGCCGATATTCAATCCCAGGCAGGTGAATCGTCAGAGTCAGTGCACTTGGCGCTACTTCAATTTTATAATGGTTCCGTGTCCTTATCGGCCAGATAATAAATATTCCGTCAAAGGACATTGGAGTTGGCTCATGTGGGATTGACTGCAGGCAGATGTACGGGCGTTGCATTGCGCCTTCTGCAACCACTTCAGATCAATGAACGCCTCCCTAACGTGACACCTGATTTCCTCAAGTGGACGTGCTGTTTAGAGGACAGTTAACTTGATCTAGTGTTTTACATTGCTTGAGCACGACAAGAAATGTGCTTGCTTCCGGTATATGCAGTTTTCTTTTTAAAAACTTGTTTCCGCGCCATATTTTGTTGCTTCTATGGGTATACGTTTAAACTTAAATTTCAGGACAACTTCCCATAAGTAGTGGACAGAGGTCGCCAAGGCGATTCGTTATTTGCCTTGACTTTTCTGGCATTCTGTTCGACTAGTGTTTTTCCCCAGGAAAAAAAACCTAAGCCTCATCACTGTGTCAGTTTAAACGCAAGCGGGACTGGTCATCCTCGTTGTCGTGCAATTTTCGTTCCGTCATCCAGGACGACTGTACCGCCGATGCGTACGTCATCTTAGTACAAGTGCACTTGTGCAGACTGTTTGGGGCCGAGCAGATTGTGCTTACATCCACGTGCAGCGTCAATTGGTCTACTTGCCTATTTTTTGTCGCTATTTGCAGTTTCCCAACTGACGTGGGTGTCACGTTGGTTGTGACGAGAGATGTTCTTAGCCGGTGGGAAGTCGATAAGCGGATAACTGCCTTTGTGGCTGGAAACATAGTTTCCAGATTGGATCCTTTCATTTCCTATAGGGGTTTAGCCGAGAGTCTTCATCACACTTTGGCTTCGTAACAGTCAAGCCTCTCGAAGGTATTACCGTGAAACCTCAAGAAATTAAAGTGTCCACCTTCAGCATCCGTCAGTAAAACAAAACAGCAGAGGGACTTGTCAACTAATTAAGATCAAGGTCACTTCCGTGTAGTTTAACTACAATGTACCACGAACTCCGTTCTTTATCCAGAACGCTTCCATTTATGCTGAATGCTGCAGTTTTGGGCTGACAGGCCGTATTGTTAGTTTGACGAAGGGATTTGACGGAGTAGTGATCGCGAAAATGGGAATGTTATTCAGCCATCTTACTAATTTGGCTAGGCGGATAGTGATCCGGACTTCACCCACCACTTGGGTTGGGCAAGCCCTCTCTTCCAGATTCGTTATGCGTCTCTTCGTACCTTTAGAAGGAACGACTTCCCACTTCTAGATTTCCACATTAATCAATCCCTCCAGCTGACAAGGTATTCTAAATGTGCTTCCGGTTTTTCTTCCCGTTTCCAAATGGGACTGCTATTAATAGTTTACTCGGTTATTTTGACTGCGTTTTAATCAATAGGAAACAGTTAGGAGAGGGCGCTGCTGTCCCCTTCTGCTCTCATCTTGTCCAAATAAAAGAAAGTACTAATAAATTCGAATCTCCTGTCTGCAAGTGCACTTATCTGAGTCTCTTACCTACTGAACTTCCGTTAAGTACTGAAGCGGATAATTTGAATTTCTTCAACATCACTGCTCTGCTACACACATACTCAGAGTTGAACTCGTCAAAATGTTTAGAAGCCACAACTAGATGGGGGTAGTGTATCCAGGAGAGGATGGCGGCAGGTAAATGCAGCCACATAGAATAGACTTGCGAACAATGTTTCAAAATGGCTTGCTAGAAGTTTAACTTTTCTATACCTCGAATCTTGATGATGCAATTATAAGTCCACCTGATGATTGACGGTGCTCGCGTCCACCCAGCTCGAAGGAATATCTGTTTTTTTTCATATACTGAAATTCTTTGTCAACTTACTGCATTCGTAGTGAACCACCTGCTCCTGGTGCACGTAAGGGAGCCTTATGAGCAACACCGTAGTTTACCATAACAGAACTCACTACTTATTTCGTTTTAGTGTATTACATAGTTTAGTCA